ATTAGCTGAAAAGGTGTGAAGGAGATTTGAGTTGGTAATAATGGTCTGTATTTTTACAAGAATTTGCATTACATAGGTGTGTGCATTTGTCAAAACTCACCAGTGGTACATTTAAGATCTGTGCATTTCATTGCATGCAAATTTAATCTTTAAAAAATCTAAACAAATCAAATTTCACTCTTCTGAAATACATACTGAAGTGTCTGAAGGCAAAGTATACTAATATCTCCAATTTACTTCAAGTGAATCAAAAATAAAAGATGTATTGATAGATGGATAAAGGAATGGACAGATAAAGAAAATACAGCAAATATAGCAAAATATTAATTATGCGGTGAATATACGGATGTTCATTGTCGGTTCTTTCACCCTTACTATACTTTGAAATTTTCTATAATAACATGATGGAGAAAATTTTAAACTCTATCCATTACATTAAGTTGAACATAGTGTATCTTAAAATCCAGCAATTCCACTCCCAGATATATACCCTAATCTATAGGAATTCTTCACATGAGCTCCAGAAATGCTCCTAGCAACACTTTCCATAATAGAAAAAAAAAAGAAAGAAAGAAAACTGTAAATATCCTTTAAGTAGATTGGAACTAAACTGATTATCGTAGCAGGGAATATGAATAAACCACAATGTTAGCGAATCTTAGAAACACCATTTCCAGTAAACAAAGCAAGTTATAAAAGAATACATAAAAACGCTGACATTTTATAAAGTTAAAACAAGTAAAACTACATAATACTGTTTAGAGATATACACAACTGTAGTAATCTATGAAATGAAGCAAAGGAACAATAAAATGTTCAGGGTAGCAGATGAGAGAGGATGCAGGAAGATTGAATCCAGCAGCAGCAACAGCACACAGGTAACTTCTACAGGCTAGTGTTCCACTTATTAACTTGTGTGGTGATTTCACAAATATGTTTTTATGCTTCATAAATTATATTTGCATACTATATTTTTAGAATTCAAAATGGGAAAGAGAGGGCTATCTGATCAAGACTCTGGAAATAAAAAACAAAAAAGTTAGATTTCAAGATAATTATCCACTATTTATTTACAACTACTGAAGTGTATGTAAGTCCTTATTTCCTTACTTAGTCTACATCGGCCTTACCCTGGGACCACAATGTTTCCCAATTCAGAATTTCTTGGATTTTAGAATGGTACACAGTACATATACTGTGCATTCCCTAAAACGCTCTTGAAAATCTGGGCAGCACCCTGAAATCAAATACATTAATATTCTTCCAGCAAAAGGCATTATTATTTACATCAAGAGGAGTGACTAGACCACAAATATTCTAATGTCAGATTAGGTCAGATGTTATCATCAAATACATTTTACCAAAAACTTGGTTTTTAGGGTTTTTTATATACCAAAATTGTGGATAAGGGATTGCAGACCTGCACTTGCTTCACATCAACAGTAAGTTCCATACATCACCTTTTGTTTAAAACCTCCCTAACTCATTTTCTTTAAAGATTTCCTATCAACATGAAAGTTTTAAAGTAAACTAGTCACATTTACACTGTAAATGCCAAGCTCTTCATAAAGAAAAAAATGTATAAAACGATCTTTAATTTTTATTCTATTTCATTTTTTATTGTATCTCTATAATGTTCTTACTTATTACATGATGGGAAAATTATACATACAATTTTATTTTAATTAGGCAAATAACCAGCAGCATGATGAGTCTAAGCACTGAGATAAGAAATATTGTCAGATAGTTTACAAGGATAATGAAATCAATCAAATTATTTTATGTTCTATGCCACTGAAAATTGTAAACAAATTTTTAATCACCTTTGCCCATCCACACAAGTCTTAAGTAAGAGTTTACCCAAGCATGAGTCCTACAGGTTATTGTGACTGTTTACCTTTGAAAGAGCAAAATAAATCAAAACTCAAAAAGCACAGACCTTTAGAAAAACATCTCTTCAGCAAAGCCTGAAACACAATTCTTTTTACCATAATAAGTAAGCAGTATGAGAAGCTGGTCTTGACAACAAAGCACAGGTATTTACCCAAAGGTTTCAAACACTACGAAAGCGTATTACTGAAGACCTGCCTCCAAAAAAAAAAGAGGCAGTAGAGAAGCAAAACTCTATTTCTAAGTAATACTAAGCAGCTCACAATCTGCAACCATAAAACAGATAAATTCTTCTCAGATTAATTTAAGGACCCACATAAAGCAATGAGCCTTTGCAGAGAAACAAGATGTCATCTTTACACTGATTTAGTTTTGGACTCTAGCTCTACCTATGCCTAATGATTGCCAGCACTTTTCTGATAGCAAATGCAAATGATAATGCTACTCACTCAAAATTATGTAGCAAGAAATAGATGCAAATAAAACCATTTTCCTTTGAAAAGAAAATTTAAAGCAATTAACTAAAAACATGCTAAATGTGCACAGGAGAAGTGAACTAAATTTAATGAGCACTGTGATGTACCAAGCACTAGGCTAAGCTCTTTACATGTTACCTCATATAACTTTGTTTCCTACAGAGGTTTACCTTCCAGGCCTAGCTTACTGAAAGCATCATACAATCATTTCTGGTGTACTTCATCTTCTTTTGTCATCTTAGGAGTATAAATTTTTAATGGTACTTTCTGAGCTCCTGAATGTAGTGTTGCAGCTGTGTTTGCTTTAAATTATATTCCTTTAAATTTTCTGTTAAAGACAAAATATGTATTTCCTATGGCAAAGCCAAAAAATAAATGACATGTGCAGTAAAACAATGACCAATTGTGAAAAGCAACCTAAATGCTAAGGTTTCAGATCTTTAAAGTGATACCAGCCATTATTTCATCAGTATTTCAAGAATATAATTTGTTATAACATTATTTTAGACATTAATTTACAGTTTTCGGTTTGGAGAGCTGAAAAGATTCCAGAGATGGATAGTGGTGATGGTTGCACAACAATGTGATGTATTTAATGCCTGCCACTAAGCTATACCCTTAAACATGGTTAAAAATGGTAAATTCTGTATACGCTACCACAAAAAAATCCGTTCTAATATTTCATAAAATACATGTAATTTAAAATTAATTTATGATTTTTTTTTTAATTTAGTTTATCAATTTGCAGCAGAAGCACCAGGAATCTTGCTCCAAAGGAATAAGGGACACATTTTGGCTTGGAAAGGTTTACTGTACCTCAAGCATATTTAATCAAATAGAAACAGCAATAACAGAGTCTGCCAAGTCATCAGCATCTGATGTCAATTCTCAGATCAGTAATGTGTCACCTTAATAAAAGTGTGTTTTGGCTGTAATAAGCATTAAATGAATGAACTGTGTCCTGAGCATGTAAAATGTTTCACTTTTAAAAATAGCCGTCATTTTAATAACTTGGAAAGTAATAAAACAAAATGCATGAGCATATTACATGTATAAGCTACCTTACATTCAAGCTCAGAATAACTCTAATAATTATGATTAATATCATTAAAGATCTAAGATATCAAAGTGAATTGCAAAACGTTTGCATCTAGGATTTGGTATGAACCTGATGAATACTTGAGATTTGCTGTACTATTTTTAACTAAACTTTCTGGCCTTAGGTCAAAGTTTTGCTAGCAAAATACCAAAGTGAAAATGCTCGGAGTGCAGCCCAGAGTCTCCGCTTTAGCCTAGGAAAAGCTATGCCATCCATGCAAGCAATCTTACTCCCAATTAAAGACTTTCAAAGACTGCTCCCATGAAAACACAGGAACAACACATTAACCCGAAAATCAGTAAAACATCAGACACATGTGACACAACATAGCACATCACTCACTATTTTCTGTGCACTGTGCAGAAAGACACACATAGCTAAAGTCAATTCCTGCATTTTGACTAAACAGGACTGAGTCACTCTGCAAACGATGCCTGAAACCTCAAAGGATAACCAACTGCCTCTGACGAAAAGTCAGTCCGTCCGTCCCTGGAAAGGGAGGAGGCAGTTTTTCTCATCATACAGTAAGGTTTATCCCAGCAGGGAATAGAACTAAACATCTGCATTCCAACACAGAATGTCTAACGGATCTAAGGATCTCCCACCCTAATTCTAGTCTTCCAAAGTCAATCTAATATGCAGAGTATCGTTTTCACTTTTCTTCTCCCCAGGGTAAAAGTCCACACCCCCTTTTCCCATAAATGCATCCACACTGCACACTACTCAAATTGCGAAATACAATCATCTATCCTCACAAAAATAAGAAATAAGCCAGCATTCTACGGTGCATTTCTATTTTGTAAAACATGCTCCTTTCTTAATCAAGAGCCAATTAGCAGCCTTTACGGTGCTATTAATTTGGATTTCAAAGGTCGTTTTAGGAAAGAGACGCAATGAAGAGGAGAGATTTATTCCACTCCACAATTCAGACTGAGTTTTTGGCTCTGGCGCAATAATCTCAGGGAATTAAATTTACAGCAATTAAAATGCACTAAATGGCAAGTATGGAATGCTCAAACGCAAGTGAAAACAGCAAAACGTTAGCTATGTGTTCCAAGATTTCAGACTAAAAGGAGAGAGTGAGGGCAGCTCTTTGTCATGTATCCCAGGGAGTACTCGCAACAGGGAGAGAGCATCAGGTTTCTTTCTCCCTTGCTCGCACCAAGTCCCCACGTAGCATGACACTTTCAAATCGGCTAACCTGCTGTATGAACGATGGCCAGTCCTCCACCCACCTCCCCAAACAGAGTGGGTAGGCGGAAGGAGAAGAGGGGTGTTCCTCCCAGTGCTGCAAGAAAGGAGCAGCAGGGGATGACACGGGCTCCAGCAGGAGATAGAGGGAGGAATCAAAGGCGGGTCACTACTCTTGGAACTCGGGGGCAGAAGCGTTTGGTCTCCGGGCCCGGCTGCCGGAAGCAGGGCGGGGTGGGGCAAGACCTCCCCTCCCCACGGGCGGACGGGCACGAAGGGCTGGGCGCAGAGGGGATCTGAGGTGTGAGCTGCAACGAGCAAGCTCCCAGGCCCCGGCCACCTACCAGCAAGCTCTCCACGTTGATGGGGGAGCGAGGGTCTCGGATCAGCGCCTCCAGCTTCCTCTGGCGGCTCGCGCCGGCCCCGTCCCCCGGCACGGTTTCGGGGGCGCCGGGCATTTTCCCCGTCGGTGGGGGCCGGCTCATGCCGCCACCGCCGGACCCGCACTCAGGCTCCTCGCGCTCAGGTCCGGCAGCCTCGGGGCCTAGCACCGCCCCCGCACCACCAGCTTCGGCCGGGACTCCGCCTGGGCCCACCGCCCGCCTCTAGCTCCGGCTTCGGGTCTCCGCGACGGTCCCCCGCCCGGGGGCTGCTCCCAGGGGCCCGCCCGGCCCAGCCCGGCCCGGCCCTGTCGGGAGCGCCGGGGAACAGACTGCGTCCCCGCCCCTCAGTCAAATTCGCGCCGCGAGTCCGCTGGTCCTCCGCGAGCGCCCGCAGGAGTCCTCGGGCGGGAGCGGGGAATTGGCGCCGCCACCGCCGCGGCCCGGACCGCCCCGCCCTCTGGGGCCCCGGGAGGCTGAAGCCCAGGCCTGGGCCACTACGGCCGCCGCCGGCCCGCTGCCATAGTCGCCGCCGGCTGCCTTGCAATCCCTCAGCCTGCTCCCGGCGCAAACACTCCCGCGCGGCCGCACGTCTTCGGCCGCGCGCCGCCGCTACCCACAAGCCCCTCCGCGCGCAGCCGCCGGCGCGCGCCCCCGCCCGCCCCGCGCGCGCCCCGCCCCGCCCCGCCCCGTGCGCCGCGCTTCCTCCCTTTCTTTCCTTTCCTGCGTTTGCCCCGCTCCGCTTTCTCCTCTGCGCCCCTTCCTCGCCCGCCCTCGCCTCCTCCCCCTGGCGGGGTTCTCTGAGGCGAATGGCCGGGCGCGCGGTCACGGTCGAGCGTCTGCTGGGGGAGGGGAGACGCACCCGGGCCGGGTCCTTCCCCGCTCCCCCTGCCCCTCCCGCCGAACCCCGCGGACGACCCAGTGGCCCAGAGGCTGAACCCCCGACGTCGGGCCCGACGCAGCCGTGCGCTGGGGGCAGTCCGGCCGCGCCCCCCGCCGTGGCCCCAGCTGACTCAGCGCGCAGCGATGCGGGCCTCGCCTCACCCGCGCCCAAATAATAGCGACCGAGCTCGGCGCCCGCGAGGGGCCGCAGGGCCGTGGGTTTCGAGGCGAGCCTGAGAGGGGACCCTGGGTGTCTGGGATTCCAAATGAGCGGAGGCGGGTGGAATCCTAGTTCTGGGGCAGGAGGGCCTGGGATCCTGAAAGCGTTTCTGCCCGGCGTAGACACTAACCACGTCGAGAGAACGGGAGAGCACCAGAAAAACGCTTTCCAGCCGCAGGCCTTCGCGGGGTCTTCTCCTTTTGGGGGGCAGAAGAGGGGTGGTTATCGGGGCCGTTCCTCCGCATTCCTGCCCTCTCGGCGGTCGGTGCCATCGCTCAGATCCGCCCAGGGCGCAATCCGAAAAATATGTGCCAAGAGCTATAAAACCATTCATAGAGCCCCTTTGACCCAGTAAACCCATTTAAGGAAGTACATTTCCAAGGAAATGATCCAAAGGGCGAAGAAGGGGGAGAACTTGCAGAAAGATGTTAACAGCAGGGCTATTCACAATGATCGTGATGACCAAAACCTGGGAATGGGCCCAGTTGTCCAACAACTGAGTAACACAAACAAGCGCCGTCACATTGACAGCAAGAACTCTGGCAGGTATGCAGACTGTGTCAAACATGAAATTTTGGCAAGTACATGAGAAGGTATATTAGAAATAAGTGAAACAAGAAAAATCGTTTTACACACTAGAACTATGTAAAATGAGCAGCTATAAGAACCAGAGAATACAGTTCTTAAATAAATGGGATTTTTTTTTCTGTAAAGATGATTAAGAGCAAATTAAAATTTCAAAAAATGGAAAAACTACTCCGAAAAGCAACAATCCGATATCCATTAAGTAATAAGAATGTTAAGAACTGTCTCCCTGGCATGTCAGAGATAAACCCGAAGATAGGGTGAAGCCCCAGCCTTGTAAAAGTTGCATTTTGATCCAAACCATTGAATTAATTGGAGCCTCTTCTTTGGTTTTAGGTTAGTTAAAACCACCCCTAGCTGGACTAATGCAGGAAGAGGCCCCGATGATCCATCCAATACAGCTTTTCCCTTTCAGATAGTAACACTGACTTCACGACCAGCGAGTCCTTTAAGTCTATACTGAGCTACTCATTCAGACCTCCGCAGAGGCCGCCAGGAGAACAGACGGAGCTAGACACTCCCACTTACCCACTGGAGCAAAATAATGAGATCATCTATGATTATGGATTATTTTCCTGATGACAAAATAATATGCAAGGCAAAGGAGCACTCTGTCTAGCGGGGCGTGGTGGCGTGCGCCTGTAGTCCCAGCTACCCCTGAGGCTGAGGTGGAGGCCTCCTCCCGTTGAGCCCAGGAGGCCAAGGCTGCAGTGAGCTGTGATCACACCACTGCACTCCAGCCTGGGCAACAGAGTGAGATTCTGTCTCAAAAAGAAACCCAAAAAAACCAAAGAAAACAAAACACTATGTGGTTCTCAGTTTCCAAATTAATTTTGACTGTTGTATATTTGTATGTAGCTTGGTGGAATAACAGGAAGCCATGGTCCAAATACTGGACATGAAAACCTTAAGAGTAGTGATCAACAAGATATATATCCTAGGCATCTTCTACATATACGTATTTATATAGACCAGAAAAAGCCATGGTACAGAAGATTTCTACCCAAGACCTATCCCGTTGTCTACCTGGAAGAAGAGAAAACGAATCTGTTGATATGAGTTAAACCTTTTTGCAGGATGGGGTAGGGGGGAGGTTAGTACAACAATTCTTATTTTCAAAAGTAATGCACAAATGCATTCTTGTAAAAGTTCAAACGAGGGCCGGGCGCGCTGGCTCAAGCCTGTAATCCCAGCACTTTGGGAGGCCGAGACGGGCGGATCACGAGGTCAGGAGACCGAGACCATCCTGGCTAACAGGGTGAAACCCCGTCTCTACTAAAAAATACAAAAAACTAGCCGGGCGAGGTGTAGTCCCAGCTACTTGGGAGGCTGAGGCAGGAGAATGGCGTAAACCCAGGAGGCGGAGCTTGCAGTGAGCTGAGATCGTGCCACTGCACTCCAGCCTGGGCGACAGAGCGAAACTCCGTCTCAAAAAAAAAAAAAGTTCAAACGAACCACAAATATATGGAACATAATCTAAAATTTACTCTTCCAACTCTATTTCCACATACATTCTTGTATCACTCAAGGCCTTTGGCCATCCTCATACATATGTATGATAGATACACGTTACCTTTTCCCTACAGACATGAAATTACACCATATTATGGTGTTTGGCAACTTGGTTTTTTCCTCCATTACTAATATGTCCTAGAGGCGTGTCCATGTCTATAGGCAGAGATCTGCTTCCTTCCACTTACCTGCTGTCCTCTACTCCACAGTTTGGATGTGCCACACTGTAATTATTCTCTATATGAGAGCATAGTGGTTAAGGAATAATTGCCAAAATCCTGCCCCAAACACACACTTGCCGTGTGGCCCTGAACAAGTTACCTAACTCCTCTGTGTCTCGATGTCCTCACAATATTTGTTATAAAGTGCTTAGAATGTGTGCTGGCCCTCAATCAATGCTAGATATTATTCATATTTTCTCACTGTCACAATGATCCATTGACATCCTCGTATCCTTTTTGCATTCATATTTGAATAGTATAGATTCCTAAAAGTGGAATTGTCATAACAATGGGTAGGCATACTGTAAATGCAGATGCTGCCAACCTGTTATTTATTTATTTATTTAAGTCAGGGTCACCTTCTGTCCTTCAGGCTGGAGTGCAGTGGCATGAGAGATCTCGGCTCACTACAACCTCCACCTCTCGGGCTCCGGCAGTCCTCCCACTTCAGCCTCCTGAGTAGCTGGAACTGCAAGCACACACCACTATGCCTGGCTAATATTTGTATTTTTTGTAGAGACGGGATTTTTCCTTGTTACCCAGGCTGGTCTCTTAACTTCTGAGCTCAAGCGATCCACTCACCTCAGCCTTCCAAAGTGCTGGGATTACAGGGGTGAGTCACAGCGCTGGGCCTCAACCTGGCCTTTAAAAAGATGCTACCCTTTTACATTCTCAGCGTGAGTCAAAGAAACTGCCCATTTCCCTTCACCTTTCCCAATATTCAATATTATAAATATTTTTAATTGTCGTCAACAAAATGGGCAAAAAAAACGACATCTTGTTCTGATTTGTATTCCCTTAATTACTACTGAAGACAGGCATTTTGTGTATCTATTTCTTCTGCAATTACCTGTTTATATCTTTTATCCATTAGTTTTACCTCTTTTTTGTGATTTATAAGAGCTCCTTATGTATTTTGGATATTCCTCTGTGTTATATTATAATAAAATATTAAAATATGTTACAGTTTGTGAAGATTTTTTTCCAATCTGTTGCCTGCCATTCGGTTTTGTTTTTACCTGTTATACAGTCAAATCTATTGATATTGTCCTCTACAGCTTCTGGGTTTTGTATCTGTGTTAAGGAGAATTTCCAACCCAGGTTTTAGGTCACACAGAATACTGGAATTGCAACAGGTTATGAGGAAATGGCAGTTTCCTAATATTCTCAGCTCAGTTCGTCCCAAATTAGCTGTGGAAGGGGGTTCCCTGGGCTTGCTGGTCTCCAAGGGAACTCCTGCTGTGACTCCTGCTGCTACGGACTCGGTCCAGAGTTGACTGCTCCTTTTTAACAGGGGCCCCAGTGTGTCCTGAGCACAGGTGAGACAGGCAGGAACTTGGACAGAAACTTTTGTTCAATAGTAAGGAAGAACAATGGAAAAATAAACACAGAAAATACAGGGCATTTAACCAAGCTGGCCTATCGATGGATAAGGCTTGGATTGTACCATAACTATTCATAACTTGCTCTGCAAAACTTAGAAACTCCACTCCGTTTCATATGAATTTCTTTTCTCTGTCTCTTCATTCCCAATGGTCTATTTGACATCCACTACCCAGCAATGCCTTCCTAGCCCTCCTGATGCTTCCTCACCCAAACTGAGGGTCCAGGCCTCCTCCTTTTCTCTAAGATCTATCTCCTCAAGTTTCAGTTTTTGATTTGAGGGATCTTCCTCTTCCTCAAGAACTAATTCACCTATCAGATGCAACTTTATCCTCTCCACCTACATCTAGGGCTGGAAAAGGACCATTTTTGTCTTTTGACCATGTGGCTTTTGTAATTACTTTTTTAATTGTAACAATTATTATTTTAAGGGCTTACTATGTGCTAGGCAGCACGCTTTATAGAGATTATCTTAATTCTCCAAACAGCCTTTTGCTTATGGTAATATTACTATGCCCATTTTACAGATGATGTAATGAGGACTCATATACATGCACATGGAGTGAAACAATGAATTAAGGAATGGATGGGTGAAAACAGCGAACCGTGAATGGTCCAGCCATCACCGACAAGACATGTAGCAACTTTTCCCATCTCACTTCACGCTGCCAAGCAACCCAGGCTGGCATTGTAGTGAGTTGCTTCTGTTCCACACAAGCCAGGATTTAATAACAGAATAAAGGAATGAACTCGCAATACAAAGGTGTCATTATCTTTGTAAACTCCTCTACTATAAAGGGTACAGGGTTTAAT